ACCCACGAGAGGATAAAGGATTATAATGATGATAGTCAAAACAATAAATAATAGGAGGATTAGAACAATGAAGATTACATCTTCACACTGAAACTTACAATTTCTTCACCGCGTTTTGCGTAATCTATCAAGTCGCCAAGCAAGATGATCTCTCTGTGACGAGGCAAACGCCCAGCCGGAACCATTCCCGGACTCTCTTGCAGGGTTATCTTTTGATAATCGCTGTATAAGGTCTGTTCGGTGTTCAAAATAAATGGTCCCTTTGATTGGCAATGTACACAATGGTTTAATTTGATCTCGGTTTGAATATCCTGGGTGTATGGCCCAAGAATTCCTCCACATTTTCCACAATTATATTTCACGTATTTCAACTGAGGAAATACACCTGTTCTTCTGGTGATGACACCGGTTACGCGTACCAATCGGTTAAGATTTGTTTGCCTGACAAAATTATTCGTTAATACTTTGGACCATGACTAATGTCAATCAATTTCAACTGTCAATATTTACTGCTCACCTAAGATCTCGGATATTGGTAAGTGAAGGGAAATCGGTGAAGCGAACGCTAACTTCTTTTCCAAGATGCTTATATCCAGAATGATTTTGCACGCTAACGTTGTACGCAGCCTCGTCAAAGATTTTCAACATTTCTTCAGGCGATTCCTGAAGGAAAAGGGCCAGCACCGGCTTACTTTTCGATAAATGCTGGAAATTGACATTGAGGCTATGAAGTTGATCTGTGAAGGAAAAAAATTACCGTGAAAAATGATGCCAGCATAATTCTAATAACCGCCGACCATTTCTTACCTCTCGTAAGTTCTTCGATGCGAGGGCCGTAAACAGATTTTCCATCTTCGACGTAGGTTCTTAAAAAGTTGCTAAATTGTTGATAAATTCCTCTCCTCACAGCTGGAATCCTGACCCACTCGATCACTGATGAAGCTTTGACCTCAGTGATCTCTTCGAGGTTCATATACTAACAAGTTTAAAATTAGTTTTATTAATGAAGTTCCATATTAATATTTTCACCATTTTTATATTCTTACATCCTCTTCATCTTCTTCGTCCTCCATATTTTCCGTCTCCTGATTTTCCACGGGGACTCGATGGCGACGACGTTTGTTAATCGGTTTGATTAAATCATTTACTAAATAAAATCATGAAATAAACAAATGGTCACAGCATGCTTTCTTGTTGAAAATAAATAGAGTTCACGTACTATCGGACGTAAGTACACCAGGGGTTTGTTCGGTATCCGTGTCCATTCTATTCATTCTATCCATAAATAATTCTGCTTGCCTGCGAATAGATGGTGATAATTCTACTTGAGAATCATCATCGATATGTTCCGAATCGTATTTATCGAGCTCCGGGTTCTCTCGATAATCTCTTGAAAATGCGAGGGATTAAAAACATCAACTAGTATTAGTATTGATCCTTTCTAAACATCAAAAGGTCTCTTTAAAATCTCAAGAAT